TGTTCAGCCGGATAATATCCACATGTCTACCCTACTTTTATAATTTTTGAATCATAAATGTAATCGATACATTTATGATCGATTATAATTTATTTATTTTAATTTTGTCGAAGGAACCGGAAGGAGTTTACTTCTGGGTTTTAGGATGCGTCACTGTGGCACTCTATCATGCTCTTAAAACTAATTTCCCTGCTTCTCGTGGTTTCCTTGCGTCCCTCCATGCTTCCCTGGTGGGAGGGACTAAACGCAGGGAAACGACGTAAGTGAGGGACGCAAGGATTTAATTGAACTGATATGTGAGATGCAGCCTAGGAGAGCTGGATAGGGTCCTCAGCAAGACCAGTATCTGCTCCTTTGTACAAGGAGGAACAGGAGGAGCACTGCCAGAGCCCTACAAAATGACCTCCGGCTGGTGAGAATGTCTCTGACCAAACAATCAGAAACAGACTTCATGAGGGGGCCTGAGGGCCCGACGTCCTCTAGTGGTCAATGTGCTCACTGCCCGGCACCGTGGAGCAGAGGTGTGGACTCGAGTCACATGACTTGGACTCGAGTCAGACTCGAGTCACACATTTTATGACTTGAGACTCGACTTGACAACATCACAAAAGACTTGCGACTCGACTTGGACTTGAACACCAATGACTCGGGACTTGACTTGGACTTGAGCCTTCTGACTTGAGGTGACTTGCTACTTTAATTCAGAGGTCTCCAACACGCCGATCGCGAGCTGCCGCTAGAAGAGCAGACTCCCGTCGGGGAGAGCAGAATCTTCAGCCGCTCCTACTCTTGCTGAGAATCCTTGCAGGCAGGGGCGGGTCTTTATTTAGCTGGGCCACCATGCGGCCAATCATATGCGAGGACACACTAGGATCATACCATTATGTGAAAGAAGGGTGGGGGGCACAGCATGTGTAGTGGTACAGGCCAGCTGCACAGAGCGACGGGGAAACGGGGAGACGGATTTAAATGCAAGCGCGTCGGAAAAAGTCAAGAAATGAGCGAAAACCGAAAAAAGAAGCAGCATCTGGCTGCTTTTCAATGATATTGGAGAAAGCAAAGCTGAGTGCAGGATTTGTAAAAATGAAAATAACCTTCAGAGCAGGGTTTTTTTTTGGTAACCACTCAGGATTTATTGTCAGAGGTGGGAGAAGTTCAGACAATTAAAAAAAGTTACAATCAGGGTTCCCGCAGGGTCTTAACAAGTCTTAAAAAGGTCTTAAATATGATTCAGAAGGTCTTAAAAATTATCGGATTTGAAAGGTACTTCTATGTTGCGATAGCGTCTAAATGTGTTTTGGGGGAAATGTCCGGGCTGCAAAGTAACCAGTACGGTAACAGCCTTTCAGTTCCCCCCAACAATTTGTATTGAATGAAATCAACATGGAACCAGTAATCACTAACTTTGTTTCCCCCGGCCCCTTATTGGAGAACACCCAGCTAGTAACCTAGCAACCAAGCTTCAGCTCATGTAGCCTATCTTCGAATCTACTTACAAATAAATATGGGGAAGTGTCAGTTCAACCGTATTTGGTTGGAAAACATCTAATTTACTGCTTGGTTGAAACCAGTGGAGGGAACGTGTTTGAAGCCCGCTGCACCTTTTGCAAAATAAATTAGCGTTTGTTTTGCTAATGTAGCGTTAGCTAATGTAGCGTTAGCTAGTGCAGCAGCAGCTAATGCAGCGTTAGCTGGTGGAGCGTTAGCTAGTGGAGCAGCTCCCGCAACAACACCGGGGGACCTCCGGGCGAAGTTTGGGTCTACGTCAACCCTAAAAGCGGAGGTGCTGTAGACGCTAAATACCGTAGCTAAACACCAATCATACAACAGCAACGATGAAATAGTGTAGCCAAGGCAGCAGAGCTCTGAATATAGCTCTTGTCACTCTCTCTCACACACACACACACACACACACACACACACACACACACACACACACACACACACACACACACACACACACACACACACACACACACACACACACACACACACACACACACACACACACACACACACACACACACACACACACACACACACACACACACACACACACACACACACACACACACACACACTAGGGCTGCTCGATTATGGCAATAATCAAGATTATGTTGGTCAATAATTAATATCACGATTATTAAATACGATTATTCATTGACTTTGAAAACATCCATTTATTGAACTTTAAAACAAATAATAATTTGAACAGTATCTTTTTAACTGTTGATTACCCTGAACGTATAATTCAACTGAAAAACCAATACAAAAATTAATTAAATAAATGATACATTACTAAAAAATTAATTAGATCAAATATGTTGTGGTGCACTGTCACAACCTAGCAAAGCAAAATAATCCTTTTTTCCGATTATGTTGTTTTCGTAATTGTGGCAGGCCAACATCGTAATTGCGATTAAAATATGATTAATTGCACAGCCCTAACACACACACACGCACACACACACACACACACACACACACACACACACACACACACACACACACACACACACACTCAAGCACACACTCAAGCACACACACATACACACTTTTTGTCTAACACGCTAACACAGTTCTGTACTGTTACGCTGTTGTGTTCAGTCATTGTTCTTATGTTGAACATGAATACATTTACTTTGTAAGTGATTATGGGACGTATTTCTTCTTTATATACATTTTCCTTCATACTTTATTGCCGTGAAATAGGTCTTAAATTCTATTCAAAGTGGTCTTAAAAAGGTGTTAAAAAGTCTTAAATTTGAGTTGGCGAAACCTGCAGGAACCCTGTACAATAAAAAGTCCTGCATTCAAAATGTTACAAGTAAAAGTACAAAAGTATTAGCATCAAAATATAGTTAAAGTACCGCCTGCAGAGGGATCTAGATGCAGGTGTTCTTTTCCCCATAGAGACCGCCTGGCTGCACATTATCCCTTGCATAAAGATAGATTGTGGGTCCCTTGTAACATGTTGTACACAGTGGAAATAAACATTCTGGTCACCTCAACATCAGGGATCTTATCCATTAAACTCCTTCTGAATCAAACCGTCACGGTAGCCTTACCTTACTGATCCCTCTTAAATTAGAAAAACACACGTTACTTTACCAGCAGAGAGAAAAGTGATTATTAAATTATTAATGTGACTAATAAAGAGCATTTCATTATTAAGTATTATTCTGTTGATCGATGTCATTACATTTGGTGAAAAACACATAATGACTTGTTTATGACTTGTTTTGTCAAAGTTTAGGACTTGACTTGACTTGAACTTGCCCATCCTGACTTGAGACTTGACTTGGACTTGCAAAACAATGACTTGAGACTTGACTCGGACTTGAGCGCAAAGACTTGAGACTTGACTCGGACTTGCAAAACAATGACTTGGTCCCACCTCTGCCGTGGAGCTCAATTGGCATTTGCCATAGAACACCAGAATTGGCAGGTCGGCCTCTGGCGCCCTGTGCTTTTCACAGATGAGAGCAGGTTCCCCCTGAGCACATCAGACATGAAAGGGTCTGGAGAAGCCGTGGAGAATGTTTTGCTGCCTGTAACATCGTTCAGCATGACCGCTTTGGTGGTGGTTTAGTGATGGTCTGCGGAGGCACATCCATGGAGGGACGCACAGACCTCTACAGGCTGAGACCAGCACCCTGACTGCCATTAGGTATCGGGATTAAGTCATATGATGTCCTGATGAACAGAAACACAAGCAGCCCGCTGGACTCAGATCTCCAGATACCACATCACTCCTCCGCTGTTCCGATACAAGTCCAGACTGCGGCTGTTTGTTTATACCATAGGTTGATGGTTGATACATGTCGTCTTCTTCGAGGCTACGTGGTTCTGCAGCGCCCCCATGGTCAGTAAATGGAAGTACTACAAAGAACCCTGTTTAATGCAGTTATTTCACAAGTTTAGTTATATACGCAGCTCGGAAAAGATAACCGAGGTCCGGACCTCGGTGACCTCAATGGTGGATACGGCCCTGCCTCAGACTGTCCAGGAGCTCAGTGATGCCCTGGTCCAGATCTGGGAGGAGATCCCTCCGGATACGGTGAATACACAGTACTGAGTAACATTTTGAGTTGCCGCATTATTTTTCCACCTTGGTTTTCGGGGTGTTTTTGAATTCAGCCCTCTGTAGGTTAATCATTTTCATTTCCATCAAACGATGTGGCTTTCGCTCCAAACACATTACCCAGCCCTGATCAGTATAGATATCCAGCATGATTTATTTTCCCACTGAGATCTGATGTGTTTTCCAAGTGTTCCTTAAAAAATGTTGAGCAGTGGATTTAGCCTTGACGCCCCTTTTTTGGAACTATGCCACCCCCCCCATTAAAGAACCACTACAGGAGAGGATGTGCATGTCCGAGATGAGCCACACACGTCACCACTCAAAATACTTTAACTTAAGGTTGTAATGAATATTTTAATATACATTTGTTATTTTTTACAGTGGAACTTCTGTTCTTTTTTTATTTAAGTTGTGCATTGTTTTAAAGTTGGGTAACGTTAGCCACCATCATACCAGCACCAAGCGCTACAACAGCAACACCTTTGAGAGTATTCAACTGGGTAAGATTGTTGTTCATGAATTCAAATATTGAGTTTGTGTCAGGAAACATTACATTTGAAAATGTTACATCAACAATTCATTAACAACAGGGTAACTGCATCTGTTAAAGGTGTGTTAACAGGCATTCAGGAGCACTTCAGGCATTCAAGTTGGTGGCCAAGTTGCACTATGGGTAATGTAGGCACCAGGTTTTAACAAGGAAGAAGAATGTGTCAAGTAAAACAGGAGATATCTCTGAAGATGCTGCAACACTTCTGATTTTTATAAAAGGACGTTGCTGTGATCAAGATTGGAGGTGCTACACAGGATGTTTCCTTCACAGATTCATCATGTGACGGGACACTTCTGATAGTATGCTGTCTTCAATCAGCAGTGGCTGACAGAACATTAGTATCTGAAATGAGTCACATGTCAATCCTGAATAGAAAGATTTGTTTATTTATTAAATACTTGTTGTACATGGCCATTAAGACATGAGGAGTCTGCAAACTTCAGAGGCACATAAGAACAGATTAGAAGATGAAGCTACACTAGGAAACCTCACATCTTATAATAACATTTAAGGACTTTAGTTCCAAACATTCTACAAGATGACATCAGCAAGAACCTAGACCTAGTGTGTGTTGCACAGTGCAGTCCCACATGAAGTCATGGTGGATGGATCTAGTGCAGCCATAAAGGTGTAGTTAGCGTTACAGTCCCAATGAGCAATAATATCTAACACATTGTGGGGATTATTATGTGCCCCCTTCATATTGTTCATGTACATACTCAACGCCTTCTTTTGAGAAGAATGGGCTTAGAAGATACTCATAAATTGGTTTGTAATTTGTGATCATTGGACGAAGGATTGATGAAGGACATCAAATATGCAAAACATTTTAGAGCTTCTTTTGACCTATAAAAGTCATTAGTGTTTTTCAGCCAGCTGGAATTAGCACAGGCTTTTGAATGTGAGTGGTTAAGTGTTGGCTTTCAACTGTATCAGAAATAAAGAAGAGAAATGAGACAAACAGCTCTCATACTTATGTCATGTAGATTACACGTTTGGGTTTAGAACCAGTGGAACAAGCTCTAAGAAGCCCCTTTCGCTCGGAGTTTGGACAGCAGCATCTCGTTCTTCCGACACTCCTGGTGACAAGAGCAAGAGCATCATATCAATAAGCTACTGTTCTTCCTGCTTAGACAGTTGTTTTTACATGAATTATGATCTCAATGTGCATAAAGTGCTAGTACCACTTGTCAATGTCCTTTAAAGAGGCCCTATTGTGCTTTTGGGGGCGTTTCCTCTCCAATCGTGTGCTATATAGGTGTACGTGCATGTCAATGGTCTGCAAAGGCCAACATCTCTGTGTTCAGGACACTCTTGTTCTGGATTTATAATAACTAATAACAAGCCAAAATGCTACTAATATGCAAGCTTATTAGCAACAGGTTAATGATGTGTTAATAATATGATTATAATCCTTATGTTCAAATAATATATGTTATATTTGTGTAAACCCGGCTCATATCGCTGAGGGTGCTAATCCCAAGCTAACCATTACTTAACATAGCCTTAAACTATGTTAAGTGTTCTTACCAGTTGAACAGTCTGCCTCACATTGTATCCAGTGAAACTAATGCAGCAGCAGCAGCTGATAGCTCATGTTCTTCTCACCTCTTTAAAGTCCTTGACTGTTTTGAAGTAAAGCCTCTGCTTGTCAAGCAGCTCCAGGTACTCGTCGTTCAGCTGATCTCTCCTCATTTTGTTTTCCTGCTTCTTCTTCTCCATCTGGAAGAGCAGAGGAAGCACGCATCACAAGAAATACTGCCACAGCTTGTGTGCTTGTGTGGTTAGAAGGTTTCTCTGTGTGTTCTGAACAACAATGTCATGTTCCTTAATGTCAGCATTTACCTTGGTGAGTACATTCTTATCATAATCATAGAAATAAAAGAACATTAAGAAAGAGAAATGAAACCCAAGTTGTACGGGGCGAAAGGACCCTTTCAGAGAGTTCTACCTTGATGCGATTCTGTTTGATTCCCTCCACTATTTGCTCCATCTGTCGGAGGAACTGCTCCTTGGCTGCTGAAGACGACATGGCTCTGAACAACAGCACAGCAAGTTACAGTCCTTCACTTTACACCCTCATCAGCTACACCACTCTCACATTACAAACATTCACCAGAGATGTATATTCATACTTACTGGTGGAAGTTGTCGTGAATAGAATTCAGCAGATTCACCTTCAGAAATAAAGCATTCATATTGAGAGCACATATGTGAATTTAGTTCAAGTTGGACTAGAACCATGGTATTGGAAAGGATTTCAACAATGAGGGTACTTACCTCCTTCTCCAGATAAACCTTCTTGTCGTCCAGCGTGTTGTACAGTGTGAAGAACTGCTTAGTCTCTTTATGTGTTGCAGAAACTGAAAGGAACAAAACAAATTGCCATGTATTGCCTTTGTGTCTGTTCTGGCACTGGTTTGAGCAGAGATGATGGAGGAGGAGGAGGAGGAGGAGGAGGAGGAGGAACCCACCCTGGCTGTAGAGTTCGATGAACCTCTTCTGGTACTGGGTGAGCTCCGCCCGGCTCGGCACCTCATCGATGTTCCTCTGCAGGATGGCGATCTCACGGTTCCTGCGAGCCTGAACACAGTCAGCCTGTCTCAGTAGTGCCTTTCACAGTGCACAGCTCAGAGTGTTCGGATTCTGGCAACTCAACCAAAAGCTGTGCCACGTGTCTATGAATGTTTCAAGCTAATGCACCCGCATGTTTTGGTTGTTAATGCCTCCTGTAGCACCTTGGAATTGCTTTTAGCAATGAAAGGTGCTTTACAAATTAAATGTATTATTATTACTGAAATGATCTGAAAAGCCTTTGACTCAATATAGTTAGCAGAAATAAGTTCAAAAACCAAACTAATACAGAACGCATTTACTAACAGGTACCATGTGTCTCATATATCCTTTCTGTATCCCAGTGATGTGACATGTGAGGCCACACGTACTGTAGTTTGTTCACTCCAGATACACAGCCCTGCTGCTGCCACACATCACATGGGGATTATTCTGCTACAGAAAGCCCCCAAACATGTGTCGACATATTGAATCATATAATGCTAAATCCCAGCATTATGATACTGCTGGGTTGTCATAACAATGCCTCGTTGTATTTGATGATCATATGGCTTTGCTGGTACATTTTAAATCTGCAAAATAACTGTAGCTATTAATGGAGTTCATTCAGAATACACTGCTTTCCTCTTAAGTGTAACAGATGAGAAACATCGTGAAGCATGAGGTGGTGATAATAAATAAAGGCTCTGGTGCTTAAGTACAATAAATGACTGAATGTACTCTTACTTACTTTGCAACACAAAATAATATCCTCATTTAGATATAACTGCTGCAGGTCTGCGTCATGTCTGAGGAGCTTTCCCACGAAGATGACAACTCTGCTGTAAACTGAATTATTTGCATTGTAACTATAATGATCAGGGATACCGTAGAGAAGCCTACTCTCAATTTGTCTCAGTCTTATCTGTAGTCTGTTATCTGCTGCTTTGACCTCGTTCGTCCAGTTCCTTCTTATCTTGTGTTATGTTACATGTGAAGAAGTTACCATGAGCAGACGGATCTTCTGTAGTTTCTCTCTGTCTGTGTTGTACTGTTTGTCTATCAGCTGGTTCCTCTCCTGACAAAAGACACAGAGTGCAAACTGTGATTATTATGATATCCTCTTAGAATGAATGTGTTTTATAGTGTGTCAAATATGCTGTGTTGCATAGGGAATATAGGACATTACCTTCTCCTCGTCTGTATCCTGTCCTGATGCCATCTTCAAGTCTCCTATGTTCTGCTGCAGACGGGCCATCTCTTCCTGGATACACATTCCATCATCATTTAACAGAGTCAAATCGGACTTCTTTCCGGTGCTAACACCCGGCAGTGTGAGCATGTTAGGGTGCTGATGGACTCACTCTGCAGTGTGTGCGGAACTCCTGCTCCTGCTGCTTCAGGTTCTCATTCATCGTCACCAAAGCCCTGAGCTTCTCCAGAGAGCTGTTAGCAGAACAAAGCATATTTACATGGACTGTCCCTTTAACCCAAGGGCAGCGGCGGCCCCCCCTTCAGCAGCCTGTATGTGTACGTATACTGCTCGCTGAGCATACATTTGACATGTGAAAAGTATGCATCCAATCCTTAAAAACTTTGGAAAGATATTTGGGATTTCACTGACACCAAATTCACAGTCAGCAGACATGCATTATAATCTCATGAAAATCTAACATGTCGCTCTCATGTCTGCATAAGCATGTGATTTGATGTAAAAGCATCCCTCACACTCATGATCGCATTAAAAAAGCTTCCCCCCACTGCTAACTAGACATTCTAAACTCACCACTCCCTGTCTCAACAGGTACCAGATAGTACACAAGCATTGAGGGTCCTTTCTTTAAAAGTCCTGTCATGTCTGAATGCAGCCGGGATGAACATTAGACTCACCTATCTGAGCGACATAAGGTCAGCAGTGTTACATATTCTACCAGCGGAGCGGCCATTCCTTCATGGTGCCACAGGAGGTCAGTCACAGCTTTGTTTTGGGATTTCTTCACAAGATAAGATATACTTTATTGATCCCATGCTCAACATTAAAAGGGTTTTTGCATTATGTTAACATTTGAATGGCTTCATTGTATCTGTGCTCAATAAATAATAATGAACGTTTGACTCCTCATACTGGGTTGTTCTCCTACTAGTGCCAGAAGCACAACCACTGGTTTGTATTAGCCTACCACATGCGAGATATCCAACTTGTGTATTAAACCTCACTTATAGTCTCTACTAAATCTTCTTTGAAATGTTTCTTTCCTGAGGCTCAAGTTCCTAAATAAATGAACAGACAGACAGGAGGAAATATACACTGACCCAAATCACAGAGGCCATGAGGATCCAATGACACAAAGTAGTCAGAGATAATGTGTGTGACTCGCCTGCTGTCAGCCTGCTCCTCCAGCTCAGCCAAACTCTTCAGCTCTCTGTCCAGTTTCTCAGAGCACTCTGTAGCCTGGGATCATACAAACACACCTGGTTAAACCACTTCTACAGCTTATTTCTTTAAAACACCCCCCCGATGATCACACTACTGATGATTGGAGTGTGATCAATGATATTCTATCAAAAGGCTCTGAAATCCCCTTCTTGTATGTTATTACAGACATTATGTGCTGTCGGCTCCATCTCAAAATCCAAAATGAAGATCCTTAACAATAACCATCAGATAACAAAACTCAGGTTCCTCTGAAAGAGTGGAGTGCTTCGAAAGCTACTTGCAATCATATTTGACTGTGTCACATTGTTCCATGTTTGCCAATAAAGTACAAGCAAACAGATGTTCATGAATAGTTGGCTGCAGGCATTTCAGCATGGTCTTACCTCAACCAGATTTCTCTTGGCATCGTCACAGCCTGTTTTCACCTCTGCATGCTTGGCTTTCAGCTTTGTAAACAATGAAATACGTATCATTAATAGTTCCGACAGCGTCCCTCCCTGATCACTGCTGCATCATAATAAGGTGGATACTTTGTGTGCTACTTGCTAAGTAAATGCTGTCTGTATATATATCATAGAAGTGCTGCATGTATTGTCCACTGTACAAAAACCCTTTGCCCTATGTTTAAACAAATACATCTTCGTGTACAGATTTGACCCTTGAGGGTCACAGTGGCCGTGGTTGTGATGCTGAGGTGTGAGAGCAGAGTGGAGCACCTCCTCCAGTTGTTTGGTCCGGTGCTGGATCTGTTTGTTGAGCGAGGCCACGGCCCGGCGGTGCTGCTGCAGCGGGCCGTGGCGCTCCGAGCGCTCCTCTGACGTCAGCTCCGACTGCTGCAGGGACATAGGGGAGAGCACAGAACAACCAGAAAAGGCTAACAGAGGAGAACTGAGGCACTCAGTGTTTGGCCCTCACGAGCCGCTGGAGTGAGTGTGCTGGGTTTCAACATGCCTGTGCAAATGTCTGAAACAGTAACCAACTTCACTTCACAAGTATGAAAGGAAAAAAGAAAATCTCTTTGTGATTTGAAAAGCTCTGTTTCGTTGAGATTTTCAACATTTTTCCTTCCTACGATTATAATAATACGGATTTTAAGGCACCAAAACTATTATCATTATTATGGTTTGAATAGCATTTAAAAAAGCTTTTAATACACAGCAGTATCTTAATATGACCAAAGCTAGAGTTTGGCTACAACAGGAGGAACTGCTTTCTGAGTATTTCTAATACGGTCTGCCACATCACTGAAGCTAAAACTGAATGTCTCTCTTTCTGTCGCTGCAAACTGAAATAACCGCCTGACTAGAAGAAATTGAGTTGAAAAAGTATTTTCAGGACTGGACATGCTCACTACATCAGACATTCTTTCTGCATGGAGAGAGAGTCTCTGCCTCTTCACTAACAACAGAATGCGGACTGAATCAGAACACCTGAACTCGGTTAAGAACATCCGTAAACATTCATCCGTTTGCACTTTGCTAATGATTTATCTAATATATCATATATTTCATTTACTTGTATATAGACACTTCTTGCACTATTTTTATTTTATTTGTATTACTTGCACATCTCAAAACATTCTCTTGCACTATTTGATCTGTTTTATGTCCTATATATATTCATGTTGCTCTGTTGGAGGAGCCTGGGGCTTCAGTTGTTCATCTCTACGCTGTAGCTGCTGTGCTAATGACAATAAAGCCTTGAAAGTTGAATCTCGAAGCAGGGGGGAGCTCAGGAAGACGGAGTGGGTTTATACAGGTCATGCTTTATGGTATTGTGTCATGCTTTATTCCACGAGGTAAAGATAGAAATAGAACTAATGAAGCTTTTCTCTGAAAACTCTAAAGTACAGGTGGTAGCAGCTCATAATAAGAGTCGTCTTGTGTTCCTGCAGTACAGCATGGTCACAGTGGTGCTTGCTCACCTTCTCTGCGTACTCAGAGGCCATCTGTTTGATCTCCTCAGACTGCATTCCCACTATCTGACCCACCGCACTCGCTGTTAGCTTCCCCTGCACACAGACAAAAGAGAACAACTGAAATAATTGAACAATTAATTGGACATTGTTTATTTAGCTGTTCTGGTTACCGTGGTACAAAGAACGTTTGACTACATGACTAAAAGTGCTGTCAAAAGAACAGAGCCTTGACTGCTGATTCAGGATCAGAATCCCTTTGTCAGCCCCACAGAGGGGACATGCACATTGTTACAGCAGAAAAGAGACAAAGACAGCTTCATGTTACCTAAAGCATGCATACAAAAGTATTCAAGAAATTATAATAAAAAAAGATTGAGCTGAATTGGAATATTGTAGAAAGAGCAATGGTAGATAAAGAAAAAATACATTAAGAAAATACAAGCTTAAGGTTATTAATATTATAGTAAGTGAATAAGTGCTTTGTGAAGTTTGAGGCCAGATACCCAGGAGGTTAGGTTTGAAGGGACTTCAGCTGTAAGTCCGCCTCATACACAAGTTTCTGTTCTGATTTGATGTAAAGCGTCTTTGAGCATTAGGAAAAGCGCTTTATGTATTATTATTATTATCAGCAGCTCAGCTCAGGCAACCAGGAGGAGGAGGACTGGGCCCTGCTGGGGGGCCAACAATCACCTCGTCATAACTACACTGTAGCTATGCACTAATGACAATAAAAGCCTTGAATTTGAAACTTGAAGACAATGTACATGTATACTGTTACATTTTTCACATATTTGTATTTTCTATACTTCTTTACTTTTATTATTATCCTTGTCTTAATTCATATCTGTACTATCCTGTGTTTCACCCTTGTTGCTGCACCTGAATTTCCCTACGGGGATCAATGAAGGTTTATCTTAATCACGTTTTACAGACGTGTACAGATACACAGATGAGAAGAGAAGGAGACAAAGACAGCTTACTTCTTCTTTAGCCATGGCAGCCATGCTGGTCATCAGGGTGTTGATCCGTATCTGAGAGAAAAAACAGTTGCATAACATTTGAAGTCTGGAGATTCAAGGCAATTGGTAATACAGTGTGTGCACGCCACACTGGTTTCCTACCGGAGCACTTTCAGCCACAGACTGAGACCACCGAAGACCACCACACAGCGCCACAGGAGGTCTTTCCTCCCAGTGGCAATCAAACTCTGTAACTCTTCACCCCTAAGTAAAGGGCACTGAGAACTTCCACACCAACACTATGTGCAATATAATTACCATCATTACAATACACTCGCTGCTATATATATATATAACTATGTGCAATATTATATTATTATTATTAGTATTATTAATAATGCTATGATAACGTGCAATTACGTAACTGGCACTACGTTTTATTTTTTGCACTACTAACTACTAACTACTGCTAATAATGATTGCATTGATTGTGTGACCATCTGTGTTTCTATGTTTCTACGTGTCATGTTGTCTGTAGATGTTTAATTGCTCTTTTTGCTGCACTTTTAGTGTACAGTTTTGCTGCTGTGTTTATTGTGTTTAGTTACTCTGGCACAACAATTTCCTTCGGGATGAATAAAGTCTTATCTTAGAAATGAGCGTGTGAATGGTGTTTGAAGACGCCCTCTGTACAAATCTTCAGAATATATAGAGAAATGAACCTGAAATGTTTGGTGTGTGCGAGCGCTACACTACAGGTGAACAGGGACATATCCACCATGACACTTCCTGGTTCACTACTGACAGTAATTATAGTGTGTATGAACAGTTTCCTGAACTGGAAAAAAACAATATGCATAATGCAAAAATGAGGCGTTAGCTATTTCTAACCTTTGATGAATTCAGGATAAATCTACCAACAAAAATACAGTGAGTTTAATAATACCCCTACATTTGTATTTTAAACCTTTTATTTCTTATTTCTCCTTTCTTCAATACAACAAAGATGAAACTGAGGTCATCGTTTTTGGAGCCAAGGAGGAACTAATACAAGTCAGCGCTGAGATCAGTCAGCAATGTTGGTGTCTTTACAGGTCTCACTAAAGAATAGGCCCGTCCACACGGCGGCGTGCGTTGAAGCTTCAACGCTTCTTCACATTCACTTTGAATGGGGTGACGTCACGCTTTGCCGAACTGCATTGTGGTTCCGTTGCTTCGCTCTGCTCGCTTCAAAAGTAGAGAAACGTTCAACTTTTCAAGCTTCGACGGAAGCGTCAGCCAATCAAATCATATGCCAGTACAAGCTCTAGCTAATCAAACCACGTGTTTGTGTGTCCGAGGCGGGAGATTCATGTGATTGGTTGTTGGTCGAGCTTCAGACACGCCCGCCGGCAAGCTTCAATGCACGCTGCCATCAGGATGGATCAGTCCAGTTCTGAGGTCTTTACACTGCTTCCTGTATAATACTGCTGCTGGTTTATAAAGCATTGAATGGTTCAGGACAGAAATAGGTTTCTGATCTCCTGCTTCATTAAGAACCATCCAGAACTCTCAGGTCTTCTGGTCAGCTTTCTGTCAGAGTCAGAACTAAAACATGGATAAGCAGCGTTCAGTTATTATGCTCCACATATCTGGAGCAAACTCCCAGAAACCTGCAGGTCCGCTGCAACTCTGACTACTTTCCATCCAGGCTGAAGACTTTTCTTTCAAGCTGCTTTTAATTGAACAATTCACACCTTCCACTCTACTGTAACTTGTATTCATGTATGTTATACCAGTGTTATTCTATATTAGCTTGTTTTATGTTTATCTTATTCTCTTTTGAAAGTTTTTGGATGTCATTTTATATTGTGATTCCCCTGCATTATATTTAAATGCTCTTAATGTTTTTCGTTTTTTTGTAAAGCACTTTGAATTACTTTGTGTTGAAAAATGCTTTATAACTAAACTTGCCTTTACTTTTCCCTAGGGTTGTTGCTGCTACCCGACTGTATTTCTTTAGGTGTGACTTGCCTTTCATGTGTATGGCACTCCCTGTATAAAGTGCTCACCTCCTCTGCTGCCTGCAGGTCCTCTTCCTCGGACACCTCTGCCATCCCGGAGGGGGCTGCCTGAGAGCCAGGGGCCAGCGGGGCCTTCCTGTCATCCACCTAGAGAAGGGAGACAGGACGCTGAGTAAAGAGACGAAGCAGGACCTGCTGGTGTCCACATACAGAATGACAGTACTTCTACTCTTTGCTGTGTTAAAGACTACTCCCCTGATTCAGTACTGCACTCCTTTAACATTGTCACAGCGAGGATGGCAAAATCAACCGTTCAGAAACTGTACAAATCTATGGAGCCTGCATTCTTTTTTCATTACCCACAAAGTGCACACAAAATGCACAATGGGTGAGAGTTCAGGCTTATGTAGAGATGAGCTACCGAGGGCTGCTCAGCTCACTCCTCTAAATGAACACCTCCAGATGTTGCACTTGTAAAGCCTGTAGTCTTCATCTACATGACTTGAGGAGATTGATCAGACTTTACACAGCGCCCTGTAGACTCCCAACAACATGCGTTGCAGTCAAATTCTCAATTTTGCTTAAGAAGGTTTCTAAAGGAGTGAAATGACCCAGGAGAAGTGGCAGCCATGATAAGAGCTGGTGGAATTCTTCAGATGACAGGAGAGGAGCTTTGTTATTTCCTTCTGTGTGACTGGCCAAGCCACACACAGTTTAGTATTCAACATACTTATTAGTGCCAATGCTGTGCAACAATAGGTGTCCAACTATTGCTCGGCTGGCCACAATTTTCACTCTTCATACATCATTAGGTGATCATAATGTAGGGAAATGTGTCATGGCCGCACCGATATGCTCATTGAATCAAACGGACTTACACATAGCAAACACGAGAGTCATCACGTGTTCATTTGGTATCCTAAATATTCTGGCTAGGATACTTAGCTGATTGGAGTTACAGTTTTTTACTTAGAAGCAATAATGCAGCACAATATTGTCAACACATTCTCTGACAGGCTGTCTCTCTTCACTGGCAGGGCGTTGCCATGGAAACACTTTGATCTTTGAACACACCGGTCAGTCGTTAACTAAATCCAGTGGTAATCTAAAGATGTTCAGAAACGATGCAGGAATGTGGTACAAGAATCAGAAATGTAATAGATAAACAGTTGAAATAGTGAGCTCAAAGGAATGGATACTGTTTGTTGTCCCTTAACAATACAACTAATGCTATTAATACTTACTCAGCGGGGGCAATGTTAGCATTGGGACGCGTACCCAAGTTTCAGTTTAATATAGGATACACTGGACCATCCAAAAGAAAAGGAGATAATGCTGTCCCACAATTATTTGTGGCCCCAACTTCTGACTTTTTAAAATGATGAAATAAAGTCAACATCCCAGTGTTTACCGAGTAGAATGGTGGCTCTTTGATTCAGATGTTTAAGTGGTGATAAGCAACAGATTATGTGTTGGCCCAACACATTTTCACACAATAATACTTATTCATGTCGATAACTACGTATTGAGAGGAGGGTGAATCATTTCCTTTTTTATTCTAATTCAACCATTGTCTAATTCAACTAATGTTAATAAAGAAATATACAGGTCACTGTTGTACACATAAAACAAAACACATTACAGTAGTCCGCTGTACAGAAAGCCCCATGGAGCTGTGCACTGAGGTTAAGACGATGTGACCCTAACCCAGTGAACAGGCGCTGGTGTGTAACATTGGTGGAGTTCCCCTTTGACATAAGCAATGTGTCAGCCTGGTCAGTGAGGGTTGAGAAGGAGCAGCATCTTACTTTAGAAGCCTGGTCAGTGAGGGCTGAGAAGGAGCAGCATCTTACTTTAGAAGCCTGGTTAGTGAGGGCTGAGAAGGAGCAGCATCTTACTTTAGAAGCCTGGTCAGTGAGGGCTGAGAAGGAGCAGCATCTTACTTTAGAAGCCTGGTTAGTGAGGGCTGAGAAGGAGCAGCATCTTACTTTAGAAGCCTGGTTAGTGAGGGCTGAGAAGGAGCAGCATCTTACTTTAGAAGCCTGGTCAGTGAGGGCTGAGAAGGAGCAGCATCTTACTTTAGAAGCCTGGTTAGTGAGGGCTGAGAAGGAGCAGCATCTTACTTTAGAAGCCTGGTTAGTGAGGGCTGAGAAGGAGCAGCATCTTACTTTAGAAGCCTGGTTAGTGAGGGCTGAGAAGGAGCAGCATCTTACTTTAGAAGCCTGGTTAGTGAGGGCTGAGAAGGAGCAGCATCTTACTTTAGAAGCCTGGTCAGTGAGGGCTGAGAAGGAGCAGCATCTTACTTTAGAAGCCTGGTTAGTGAGGGCTGAGAAGGAGCAGCATCTTACTTTAGAAGCCTGGTCAGTGAGGGCTGAGAAGGAGCAGCATCTTACTTTAGAAGCCTGGTTAGTGAGGGCTGAGAAGGAGCAGCATCTTACTTTAGAAGCCTGGTTAGTGAGGGCTGAGAAGGAGCAGCATCTTACTTTAGAAGCCTGGTCAGTGAGGGCTGAGAAGGAGCAGCATCTTACTTTAGAAGCCTGGTCAGTGAGGGCTGAGAAGGAGCAGCATCTTACTTTAGAAGCCTGGTCAGTGAGGGCTGAGAAGGAGCAGCATCTTACTTTAGAAGCCTGGTCAGTGAGGGCTGAGAAGGAGCAGCATCTTACTTTAGAAGCCTGGTCAGTGAGGGCTGAGAAGGAGCAGCATCTTACTTTAGAAGCCTGGTCAGTGAGGGCTGAGAAGGAGCAGCATCTTACTTTAGAAGCCTGGTCAGTGAGGGCTGAGAAGGAGCAGCATCTGACTTTAGAAGCCTGGTCAGTGAGGGCTGAGAAGGAGCAGCATCTTACTTTAGAAGCCTGGTCAGTGAGGGCTGAGAAGGAGCAGCATCTTACTTTAGAAGCCTGGTTAGTGAGGGCTGAGAAGGAGCAGCATCTTACTTTAGAAGCCTGGTCAGTGAGGGCTGAGAAGGAGCAGCATCTTACTTTAGAAGCCTGGTCAGTGAGGGCTGAGAAGGAGCAGCATCTTACTTTAGAAGCCTGGTCAGTGAGGGCTGAGAAGGAGCAGCATCTTACTTTAGAAGCCTGGTCAGTGAGGGCTGAGAAGGAGCAGCATCTTACTTTAGAAGCCTGGTCAGTGAGGGCTGAGAAGGAGCAGCATCTTACTTTAGAAGCCTGGTCAGTGAGGGCTGAGAAGGAGCAGCATCTTACTTTAGAAGCCTGGTTAGTGAGGGCTGAGAAGGAGCAGCATCTTACTTTAGAAGCCTGGTTAGTGAGGGCTGAGAAGGAGCAGCATCTTACTTTAGAAGAACAACCTACCATGTCTTGTTTGGACTGTTTGCTGAATCCATAGCGCCTAGAGAGAGAGAGAGAAATGAAGGCACACATAACCAAGGTGTACAAATACAGTAAGTATTTCCTTTGCCATAAAGGAACTTTTAAGAAATAACAGAAACAAATATGAACCAAAAGATAAAATATTGCACTACGTTGTTGTTTCACTGCAGGATGTATATCATCTCCTCCTTGGCAATAAGATGCGTGGTCTTGTTGAACAGGGGAACTTTTAAGTACACCATGCAACATTACAACTTCAACACAACAAATGGCATTCATCTAGCATGAGAAGAAATAGGCCGTTCAGAGCAGGATTGTGTGATTGAATACATTGCAAGCAGCAGCAGTGCAGTCTGCTTCCATCATGCCTAAAGACTGTTGAGATGCATTCTCTGACACACACGTCACACAGTGCTGGGAGGAGAAGCTAGCAACAAAGATTCACACGTCACACAGTACTTACAGGAGGAAATGTGACTTTCTAGTAGAGAGACGCGATGAATGGATGAAAAACAATGTGTCAGACAGATATGAAACTAAACATGGGATGTGTGGATTGAAGAGTATAACAGCACATGAAAGGGGTTCGGGTAAAAGGTAAAAAAAGGCTGAGAGAGAATGTATGCTTATGAGCAAAAAAAAGACGTTGTTACATGATGAACTGTTTTTCAGCAACAGCTGAGAGCAAACGTTTTCAGTTCCCAAAAACCATGAGCTGTATTAAACAGAAATAGTGATAGAAAGCAGACGGAGGAGGGTTGGGACGTGGCAGCTGAATACACAACAAGCGTATCCAATATTATACATACAGTCAAGGTATAATAAAACAAAGTTCATTGAAGCCAGAGGGTAGAAAGCATGACCTATACAAAATTGCCCTCCCTTAAGTTATTTAAATACATTGTTGTTGGTCCCTTGCATCTTATTGCAATTCGCTACAAAATGTATGATTAAACAGTTTAAAAGTGTCAAGGTAAGAACTTAACAAACTCATGTACAGGGGCTGAAATAATACCAGAAAATGTAAAGAGAGAGGAGGAAATGTCATCCAAGTACACATACAGATCACAATGTAAACAAGATAATCCAATATAATCCTTTTTTAAATAAAGTCCATGAAAGGCAGATTTATTTTAGAAATACTCAGTATTATAGTTAGGGATACACCGAGGCATCGGTCCAATGCCCTATTTACTGCATTCGGTAGATAAGGTGACATAGTATAACACCCCCACGATCGCACTCACATTACCGCAAATGTTACCGTCGCACATTGAAGTTTAAGGAGAACAGGATACAGCTTTGGAGGCATGACTCCATTCATTCCTGTGAGAGTTGCTCAGTGAACCATGAAGCCAAAGTGGTCTGGCTTGAGAGCAAAAGTAGCGTATCTGGGACGTGAGCAGGCCCTCCAATTCGCAGTGTGTTTTACTGTCTAGCCCAGGGGTCGGGGTCTCTCGAGCCGCATGCTTTTAAGCCCTCTGCTCTGGCTCCCTTGAGCTTAGACATAAATAAGAAGGAAATAAAATAAAAGTATTTCTAGGACTATTTATATTTTGTTGCATGGTTGAAAATGTTTGGTATCTTGTATTTTGAGGTGATACTGTGACACGTAAAAAAAACAAAAACGGTTTGAATTAGGTCAACTAAAATATGCGTCACATCCTGCTACGGTCCCGCACCAGCGCCTTTTCCTGCAGGTGAATAACCTGACCCCCGGCTCCATGAGCCAACTATGGATACATCAAAGAAAAGAAAAGCACCGGAGGAACACAGAGGGTTTGATTCTGCGTGGACAGAGTTATCTGCTTTCACAGCAAACGATGCTGGCTTACCGGTATGTCTGATATGTAGAGAGAAGTTGTTAAAAGTGCTGCAGCCTTTACGTATCGAGGAACAACACGGGAGAGGAAGACAGCTGACGATCTTAAGTCATCATTCAATCAGTTAACTCTTTTTAGGGTGCAGCTATATGTTTGATTTATTTCAAAGTGGGCCCATTTTAAATTATATACATTTTCTTCAAATGTGATTGATTTATTTGAAAGTAGGCCTGTGTATTTTTGTATTCTCCTTATAGGAGTTCTTCGTTTATTTTTAGAGGTAAACAGTTGTATATAATGTAATAAATAATAAATGCAAAAAAACTGTAGTTTATGTCTATGATGCAACAATATATACAACTTTATAAGCTATCAAACTATCAAATATTTTTTGCGGCTCCAGACAAAAAAATTGGTGTAAAAAAGGGGGCAAAATGGCTCTTTTGGTCAAAAAGGTTGCAGACCCCTGGTCTAGCCCTAATGATGACAAGGGCTATATAAGTGTTTGTACTGCGTTGTTTATTTAGTTTCCAGAAATGATACGTTGATCTGCACACGTCTCTTTGCAATGGGAAAGATTCTTTTTGACCCAATGACGTCACCGACTTACACAGAAGTTAGTAGTACCACCGTTTGGCTTCTCCAATAATCTGCTTCAATGTCCGGCGCACTTCCTGGGGGCTTTGTCTTTAAAAATGTGCAACGTCACTGCCTGGCAAAAATAATAACCATGCCCAAAAGCTTCTAGCACGTCAGACAACAAAAAAGATTAAAAGTAACGATTTTCTCTACTGTAACATAGAAAAAAAGGACAATAAAAGAAAAGATCTGTGTGTTCAGGCCACAAACAGAGTGGATGAGAAGTGTAAACGACCCGGGCCTTCAATACTGTGCATCTGTGGGAAACGCTGCGTCACAGCTAAATGATGAGGCTAATGAGGTTAACAGTTTTTGTTTATAGTGAATGTATTCAGTGTTTCCGCTACTATTGTCTTGGAGGGGCGCTGCACCCCGCCAACGGAGCCCCGCGCCCCCCCTGAAATTCAAGGTGTTTAAAAATAAATAATCTTTTTTTTTAATATATATATATATATATATATATATATATATATATATATATATATATAGCACCAAATTGCAACTAATCTATATCTACTGTCACTTTTCACATTGAACATGAGCTCTTTTATTAAATAAACTAAACGCTTTCAAGTTGTGAGTTTAGTGTTTTTGACCCTAAGAAACACTGATGCATTAATCAATAACAATAATCCACAGCTCCTCTCTCTGCTCCAGAGCATTAGCATTATTAGCATTAGCATTAGCTCAGCGCAGAAACGCAGAGAGACTTATGGCAACACAAAATAAAACATGGGAGCGGTGGAGATGAGGAGGTGTCGGCATTCTAGCGATTTACTCGGAAGGCTTCAGTAGAAGCCGCTGGGAGTCCCAGCAGCTTCTACTGAAGCCAGTCCCCAACTCCGGGGACTTCTGGACTTTGGGCGGCAGTATATGCGTGAAGTTGTTTGCGGCCTGCCAGTAAACCCAAAGCAGAAGAAGAAGAAGTGACGTCAGCGGCTTCATTTGCCTAATCCTCCCCCAGGGACTGTACTTAGTTCCATGGGGGCACTAAGTGCTGGGAACTAAGTACGGCAAAGTACTTTGTGTGAAAGCGGCTATTGTTACACCGCATATTAATGTATTGGAAAAGGTTTAAAAAGTCGGACCTTTGGAACAGGTGCGCACAGTGATTACGCACTCTGACGGGCAGGCATGCGTCAACGTTTTTCCTGTGGTTTAAAATAGCATATTTGGATCATTTAAATAAGGCCAGCAAAGAAGATGATGCAAGAGGTCGCATCAAAGGACAGAAGTGGTACTTCTGATGATGTAAATCCTAAGGACATTGCATCAAAAGGACAATAATTCCAGACCACAAAAAGTATACAGATTACCATACAGCTCACCACCAAAGATGATTTAGCAGTCCTTAAAGAACGCATGGCTGCATTGAAGAGGAAGCATGCATTGGAGGCCCAAGAGGAGGAGCTTAGAAAAGAAAAGACTGGCTTTTCAACTAAATCTGACTGCAATCAATGCCAAACTTGAAATACTGAAATCCACTCAAGGCGTGGATCCAAAGGATCTGTGGAAAATGGAAACAAACAGAAATCTGAAAAGATGAAGTCTCCCTCTGCCCCAATGTTTATCTCTCCAACACAACCATCACTTACAGGATCAAGCTCAAGCTCCAAGATGAAAATACACACACACCCTTCAATAAAGCACATGTTTCACCTGGACAGACTAGTGTTCCTGGAGAGGACACTGGATTCAGTTCTGGCTGCCCTGTTGTAATAACCTCTCAGCTTGCAGTAGAACAACAGGAAAAGATGTTCATCAAACTCATCATGTTTTTAAAGTAAAACCATGATGAAATGCACACGGAGAGTGAGGAGCAGGGAAGAAACCACACAGAGGAGACCAGCTCCAAGACATCAGAGCATCACCAAAGTCATAAGCATCAGACCCAAACACAGGATGGAGAAATGGAATCCAACCTGGTGATAGAGGATTTGGAATAAGCCCAGGAAAGGATTTTCAACAGGAGTGAGTATGGCGATCAACGAGAAGGCAACCACTGACTGGTGCTACTGGATATCTTCTCATTGAGTAGCTTTTGTAAAAGTAAAAAGGATTTGTGCTCAAGTGTGATGAAGGGCGGAATGGCAGCATATATTTGATAAATAAGATGTGTTTGTTTCCCTGGCACAAAAGGTTGAAAAAGAACAGAAAAAAACCATCGGTATGAATATGGGCTGAGTGACATTGGTGCTCCCTAATTACAACTGGTCACCGCACTGCCTTAAAGCCACTGGGGCCAAAACAAACAACAGAGTACACACATCTTACCTTCCGTATTCCAGCAGAGTGGAGTGGACTCTGGACTCCTCCTCCTGCAGCTCCCCTGCATCCCTCTGCCGCCTGTACTTCCTCTGAGGTTTGTACACTTCCTGTAAACACCAGCATTTATTAAGGACATTTTAGATTTGATATAACCCAAACAGATCAGTAGGAAAACGTTTCAGAACACGCCTGTTCCTGCTGTTTTTAAGCACACAGAATAACTTTATTATTCTGATGAACCACATGTGCTTTTTGTCTTTGCAGTTGAAGTAGTTACAGAACCAATTTAATGTATGCTATGCTGGTGAAGCCACTTACCAATACTTTCAGAACTGCACTCACAGCCTTGTCTTTCCTCTGAAGGAACTCCTCATCCTGGAACACAGAGTTACACAGCACATATTATGATTAGGAGGACAATTGATGTAATAGAGCAAAACAACACTATGGTTTACATGTCCTACCAAGGGGGAACATTACTACCACACATCTGCACAATTCTGTTCAATTCAAAGTCAGGGTTAACACTCTGGGCCAAATCTCATTCTGACAGTGACATTTAGCATTATTTAGCAATGTTCCAGTATTTTGATAACTGATCACAGTGGTGATGTTTTCCATTCTCTCTTCTGTCCCACATCTGGATTCCACTCCACCAAGCTCTACAGTAAGTCTGGCTCAGTGACTGACGCTACCTCTGGCAGGCTGTGGCTCTTCTGGAACTGACAGATGGAGTACGCTCTCACAGAGTCGCCCATCTCTTCCCGCGTCTCAATGGCTCGCTTCACCAACCACTGGCAGGAGACACAACACACAGCTGGTCATACACTGTGCACTTCAGATCTCCACCGACACTGAACCATTGATTCTCTGACATTACAGCATGTGAATGCAACATATTTCATAAGTTAGGATATTCACTTAAGATCCAAATCATAAGCCATACCTTAACAGCAGATATAAATGAGTTTAAATTGGGCAGAAAAACTGATAGGACACCTATGTCTAATGGAGGAATACACAGTTTCAAGACAAATGCTATCATTGTTACGATTTGAAATGCTCTTAACAAATGTCAATGTAATGCTTAACATTACCATATGAAGATTTGGTATCTCAGTTGAGGATGGATTCTCTCACCTGTATTACTGGAAAGATGTGGATAAAATCCAGTCCTTGGATTTGATGTGGCTCCAGGCAATGAGGACACTTCATCTTTGGGAGCACCGACACAATTTTCTCCGTCAGGGATCTGCCAAGAGGAAGAAGCACTTATCAGTCGCTCTTTGCACTGCCTGCTTCTGATCTGAGTGTGTGTTCATTGTTAATAATCATAGGACATTCTTTTAAAAGCTTACAAATGAGGTTATTTCTTGCTCCATGCTATAGTGCTGCTAACATGTAATAATGATGACCAGGATGGCAACAGATCTGTACACACTGTGACTCTGCAGGCTCACTTCATGTCACACTGGGACATGTTATATGTTAGTCACTGTCTCTGTTAGACTGGACAATATCACATTTCAATGGTGTCAGCTTGTGTGATGATGAATATCTGGTGAATCTGCACTATCATTGAAATGGAAAAATAAATCATCAATGTATGTCATTTATCTGCACAGCTCTTAAGTGAACTATTTAACTCTATTCTATTTTTATTAAGATGTTGTTTAAATTGCAAGGAGCCCAGAATATTCAGCGTGAAATTGGTTGGTGGTATGCAAAGTCGGATTGGAAGAATGGAGTTCTACTTTCCTGTCATAATCTTTGATATAAGCCCTTCTTTGGTGGCTTTAGCTTTAAATGTTGGACCAGCCACATTGTTTCAGTTGGACAGCCGACCACTTCTCTCCAAACAGTCAACGTTCATCTAGGACCGTTTATTCACACAGTGTATGGGGGCCTCCGGGAACAATTCACCAGCTCAAACCCCACTTACATTTTCTGGCCAATTGTTGAGTTTTCTTGGAAAAGAAGATCCACATCAATGTCAAAGTTACAAGTGGTGATGCACCAGGTCATACCACCTACCACCTGAAGAGGGGACAGGAGGACAGGTTGAGTGGGAGCGTTACTGTTGGAATCAATCAATGGCAGCCCTGTCTACTGAGTGAACTCAAAGATTAATAGATACTTCAGTTCACAATTTATAATAATAATAATAATAATACATTTAGCCCTTTTCCGAATACCCAAAGCACTTTACATTACAAATGATTCATATCAGACAGTGAACACTGTGTTGACAATCCCCACAGGAGCAAATTGGGGTGAATAGTCTTGCCCAAGGACACAACGGCTTGTCGGAGTGGCGTTTTTATCATCTGGAAAGGCACAATTGAGTGTTAATGTCGCCATCATCACATGACAGGGAGAGAGCAGGTCCTGGTACCTTATCGAAAGGGGACAAGCCTTTAATCCGTGCCCGGAAGTATCCAGCTGCCAGCAGGAGCTCCAGGATCTCCGCCAGCTTGATGCTCTGCTCCTCATCCTCTCGGGTTTCCACCTGGGGCCACACACACATAATTTACCTCTGTAAGAAACAAACTCCATGTGGGCTGCTGGAGTGCTCTGGAGCAACACTGCACACAGCTGCAGAGGGTCTGTTCTTCCACTCAGCTAACGTCAACGTCCATGGAAAGAGCCAAATATCTGCCAACTTAAAGAGGCCATTCCTTTACTTAGCTCTCTTAATTATGAAATAAAGCAAAGGTTTCCTATTGACACCGCTAAAACTGTAAACGAGCATTCAAACTCCATCCAGCTGTTAAAGCTAACTCAAGTTAGCTCACAAGCAAGCCTCCGAGTTTTCCCGCTATTAGGTTGGAGTAGGGTTGCAGTGAAAGCCCCGTAGGTGTTAAAGGTTGATGTAAACGCTGCTCACCTGAATCAGGTTTCCTTCTTGGTCATATTGGGCACCTATTTTAGAGCCAGTTCTGACTCTGTGGAAAACCGACGAAGCCGCCGCCATGATGAACTGACGTGTTGACAGGTCACATGACCGGAACATGTGACATGTCAAATGTTAATTGTTGAATGCAACTAAACACAAGAAATAACAACGAACACTAGCTAGCTATTTATTTGAAGCCGCAGGCAGGCTGTGTTTCGAACACGCGACTATGTCACGAGGAGCGCAGACCATGGGTGTGTAAAAAGAACGGCACAGACACCACAACGTGCACGCGCATTTTCAGCCAGCAGAGGGAGCACCAAGATTTCAATGAAACAGTTACAGAGAAAATATCTAGAAATTAAGTCATTTGGAAATAACGTTTGAGGCATTCGTACATGGATGTATAATAAGAACATTCGTACCACATTTTTACACGGGTTTTAATTTTGCAACAACCAATCCTCTCAGATTGCTCCTTGCCAACCTGGTCCACTTACACTCAGAGGATATCTGCTAACACTGATACACAGATCGAGACATCAACTATTATAATCATATTCAAATAATCATAATAATAATAATCGTAATCATCATACAATAATAATAACAATCATAATCATAATAACAATAATGGTAATAGTTATCATATAATAATAATAATATCATTATATTAATCATAATTATGTTATGTGCATTTGCCAGTTACATTCATTCTGATTTTATTATGATTTAATTGTTCATGATTTCCATCATGTACAGCTTATTTATTTGACATCACATAATATTGTACAAATGTTTTTAATGTTTAATGAGGTTTAACAAAACTGTGCTTTGATGTGGTAATGCGATAAAGCTTCTTTAAATCTGAATTGAATAGGATACGTGCATTGTCTCTTTAAACTGACAGACCTTTAGGAGAAAGAAACAGTATACTGTTATAATAATAATAATAATAATACAAATACATACTCATCATAATACTTTTTATCATAATAATTATAGCAACAATCATAATAATCGTGTAATAATAATAATACATACTAAAATAATAATAATAATAATACTAATAATGTTATGTGCAGTTAGTATGCAGTGTTATCATTACTATTAGTTTTTATTATCGTTACATATGAATATTGGTGATGATTTCCATCTCGTTCCGTTTCTTTCCTTCCTTCCACATCAGCTTTGATGTGCAACGCAAATAAAGTATCTTGACGTTTGCATTTAGGTGACAGAGAGAGCGAGAGAGAAAAGAGAGAGAGAGAGAGAGAGAGAGAGAGAGAGAGAGAGAGAGAGAGAGAGAGAGAGAGAGAGAGAGAGAGAGAGAGAGAGAGAGAGAGAGAGAGAGAGAGAGCGAGAGAGAAAAGAGAGACAAAACACTGCCAGATATTTTGCGACAGTACTGCTCACATTGCGGCCACAACACGACAACGGCTCGGTTTACGGCACACGTGTGTACAGACCACTTCACTCCAGCGGTGGTGACTCCAACATGGCTAAAGTTTCTAAGAAGAAAGTGAGTAGGAAGAGCGTCAGGAAGAGCTCCACGGTGACGGAGAAGATCGCAGAGGTGAAGCCAGATGTGGTGTACGACGATGGCGACGATGAGTTTCTCAGTAAAGAAGACGGAAATATCAGCAGTGAGGAGGAGGAGGAGGAGGAGGAGGAGGACGGCGGCGGCAAGGATGAACGAAAACGCCAAAAGCTGCTCGAAGCCATCAGCGCTCTGGGAGGTAAGAGGCAGAAGAAGCTGGGGGAGAGATCCGAGGCAGCCGTCCTCATGTCGGAGTTTACCGTCAACGCCGAGGGAGAGGGCGATAAGATCGATCTCTCGGACCTCATCGGGTCAATGGAGAAAACCTCCGCTGTCCCTGCCAAGACCAAGAAGCAGCTGAAGAACCTGCAGCATTCTAACAAGACCATTGAGTGCCCCCTCAGCAAGCAGGAGAGTGAGAGGATTCAAAGAGATGTGGCTTTCCGGAAGGCTTCCACAGAGGTGACCCGGTGGAAAGACATCATCAAACAGAACCAGAGGGCTGAGCAGCTGGTCTTCCCCCTGGACAAGGAGCCCACGGGTCCTAGGCCAATGGAGAGGATGGTGACCGGGTGGAAGGCACAAACCCCGCTCGAGCAGGAGATATTTGCCCTCCTTTCAGCAAACAAGCAGCCCATCAATGACCCCATCCTGACCCCTGCAGAGGAGGCTTCAATGAGGGCCATGAGCCTGGAGGAGGCCAAGATACGCCGAGCAGAGCTGCAGAAAGCCCGGGCTCTGCAGTCCTACTACGAGGCAAAGACCAGGAGAGAGAGAAAAATCAAGAGCAAAAAATACCACAAAGTGCAGAACAAGGCAAAGCGTAAAGAGTTCCTGAAGAAGTTTGAGGAGATGGTGAAGACGGACCCCGCCGCTGCCTTGGAGGAGCTGAGTAAGATCGAGCTGGCCAGGATGCAGGAGAGGATGTCTCTGAAGCACCAGAACAGTGGCAAGTGGGCCAAGTCAAAGGTCATCATGGCAAAATATGATGAGGGGGCTCGCAAAGCCATGCAGCAGCAGCTGGAGGTGAACAAGGAGCTGACCCAGAAGCTGGTGACTGCGCTGAATAAAGAGGAAGAGGAAGAGGAGGAAGCAGTGGATGAAGAGGTGCTGCCTGATTTTGTAAATGATGCAGAGCAAGGACTACATTGTTCCAATCCCTGGATGAGAGGAAAGCTGTCTGAGGACCCTGCTGAAAAAGAGTTAAGTGAAAATATGGATCTAATAACCGAGGGGCCTGGAGCTGTGGGAAATCCAGCCGAGGAAGAGGAGGAGGAGGAAGAGGTTGTGGAAACAGAAGAGGAAACCCTCCTCAGGGAGTTTGACAGCAGGAGGAAACGGCGTCAGGCTCACGAGGCTGTCACAGCACCTGTACCTGAAGAGGAGGAGCCACAAGTACCTGACCAGGAGGAAGAGGAGGAGCCACAAGTACCTGACCAGGAGGAAGAGGAGGAGCCACAAGTACCTGACCAGGAGGAAGAGGAGCTGTCAGAGTTCACAAGCCTTTTCCAGGGAATAGCAGACAGCAGTCGGGAAGCTGAGATGCCCGAGGGAGCTGCAGACACGAACCCTTCAGCCCAGCTGGAGGAGGGGCTGGTGAGGGTCAGGACTCTGGAGGACATGGAGCTCCTCAGTCAGCCGGCCCCTGCTACAGAACAGCTGCCCTCTGTAGCTCCACAGGCTGACACAACCAGGAAAAGAAAGCGGGGGATCGAGCTGAAAGAAGTTCTCACCAAAGAAACAAAAGTCATCAAAGTTCCTCTCGCCCCAACCATGGAGGACACGGAGGACTCGGAGGACAAGCTTGACCAACGGGGGCTCATTAAAGAGGCCTTTGCCGGAGATGACGTGGTGGCAGACTTCCTTAAGGACAAGAGGAAGCAGGAGGATGCAGCGAAGCCGCAGGTTGTGGACCTGACTCTTCCTGGTTGGGGCGAGTGGGGAGGGACAAACCTAAAGCCTTCCCGCAACAAACGGAGGAGGTTCAGGATTAAGACGGCCCCCCCCCCTCCAAGGAGAGACCAATGTCTCCCCAGCATCATCATGTCAGAGAAGAGAAACAGCTCCATCAGCCTCCATCAGGTGAACTCGCTGCCCTTTCCCTTCCAGAACCACGCGCAGTTTGAGAGCACCATCCGCGCTCCGCTGGGTCGCACCTGGAACACAGAGCAGACTGTCAGAAAGATCAGCAAGCCCAAGGTGGTCACCCAGCTGGGCGCCATCATCGAGCCCATGTCCCGTGAGGAGCTGCTGAAGGACAAGAAGCAGGTGTCTGCAGGGAGCACTAGTCATGTGGACTCATGGAAGAGAAAACGTTAGCAACAGTTCTTGTCAACATGCTCACTGGGTAAAAGTCAATGTAAAGCAAAGCAGCCAGCACAGCAGGTTGTCATGACAGCTGCACTACTCAGATTCCCTCTCTGCTTAAGCTTTTCATGTTATATAGATATGTCAAATCAATGCTGAAAGTCAACTGAGAAGGGTCAATATGTGAAGCACATGGTGTCATTGGGCTTAGATGAGAACAGCTGGTGATTTAGTAAAGCACCTTCCTGCTGCCTGATGCTGTGTACTCCCTGTATCGTGTTGTCTGAAAGTGGTAAATGGACTCAAACTCTATCTGCTTCCTGTGCTTTCTTTTAGCATAAGTTGTCGTTTTTAAAAAGAATGAATTGTGGTAGTTCCCAGCTGATGATGTATAAATACAATAATGGTATTAACAGCCATAATTAATAACATTTCATAAACCATAATGACTGTTCTAAAATGCTTTATTAATATAGGTCTATGTATGATCTTTTTTTAAGTATCATTACTGATATTTTGGTGTGTACTGATACCTGAACACATTCCACCTACTGTATTAGTTCCATTTATGGTAGGAATATATATTGAGTTTGAAAAGATGCCTATTGTACATGTCTGATAGCTGGATCTGTAATAAGTGTAGCTGTAAGATGAAGAGTGGAGTAGGAAGTACAATATGTTCCTCTGAGATGAAGTAGGTTGGAAACATACAGCAGATGAACTGCTCAAAGTACATACTTTATTATCAAGTAGTGTATTTATGACAGACACTGTTCAAATGTATTGTTGGGTTTAGCTAATATACCACCATGAACATAAGAGGAATATCCAGTAAGACCTGTCACTGTGATCACACAGCAGCACTGACCTGTGATCAGTCAAGAGGAGTAGAACATCAGTCAGGACTGATCCTAAACAGCAGCAATATTACAACTGGATCTGTTTATAACTACAATGTGTTCATGGTTTGTTATTGACTCATTCTATTCAATTCAAAACCTTTATTTATCCAGGTAAAATCCCATTGAGATCAATGATCTCTTTCTCAAGGGAGACCTGCAGCAGTAGGTTCCACAAGAAGACATAAACAACAGAACAACAAAAGGACATCATACAGCAAAATGTACAGGGATTACAATTTACATATTTAACCACATGTACAGGTACCAACAGCATCTGATTTTGTAGCATCCAACCGAGCTTTAAAAACATGTATTAATCTGATATGAACTCATTTCAATATGGCTGTGTCTTTTTTGTCACAAATAAATAACTTTTGTCCCAAAATAATAACTCTTGCACAGATGTAAGGCCTCAGTTCAAAAATCCAATGATGTGACCCTTCTCTTCCTTTGGACCATCACCTCTTTAGGTAACACTGAAGGCATCAGTGCTGACTCGTTCTGTTTGCTGAGACTACAGAGTTCATAGACAGCCATGTTCCATGCCCCCAAAGTGAGGTCGATCACAAAGCATCTGCTTTGCCTGGTGTTGATACCAACTGGCACTAACACAATTCACTTTACAAACCTAATACCCAGCTATTTTCATATTGTATTATTTCAATTCATCAATTCCATTGAAGTCAACTTCTTCTGTCCATCAAAAGAAAATAGTTTGTCACAAACAATTTGACTTTTTTCAAGACATTGTGTACAAGGTTAGTACAGTGGTTTGCCTTGTCTTGATGTTGCCATAGTAACATATGTCCTGGTTCCTGGCAGTGGACTAAACGACCTCATGTTGGAGGTAAAGGGCATTATCTATCATTTCTGACATACATTCACCAAACAAGTCAATTCATTGATTATTTTTTAATGATGAACTAATAACTCAAAACTAAATATATGTTTAATGAAAAAATAAAACCCTGGCATCCTTTGCTATTGTGTTGCCCTAAGGGTTGGATTCACATCGCTGTGTAGTGCTTTCAAGCTTGTCACTTGACATGGTGTTTATTCCTTCCGTTAAGCAGAGGAGTTTTAAAGTCGGCATGGTTATTTCACAGGATGCTGGATCACATGTTTCACTGACACCATTCTGAAGGTTGTAAACTGGGGCCGGCCGTTAGGAGTGGAACAGCAACATCTTACAATGTGCTTTATATGTAGATATTCAATGTATACGGCAGCAGTGTCTAGAAGGAAAGCATTTACAGTTGGGTTAAACCTTCACACATGGGTGAGAGTGCATGCTTTGGCACCTGACATCTCTGTATTTCATGTGATAGGCACTCTATTAAAGCAGAGGAATCCCGTAATGGACTATGCATCAGTTCAGGTAATGGTTGTCAGCTTGAGTGCCCAAGAGGCATTGGAGAATTCCATTAGAAACCTATAGTTACTAAATCAGTCATTCTCTATCGAACCTCCTCTTTGGGGCAATTACTACAGCTTCATACAGCTTTCAACAAAGAAAAGAGACCTAGTCCTTGGACTGGCTGCTGCTGCCCACTGGACTGCATCGAGAACAGACAGTGATTCTCGCTCAGATATGTGAAGGCTGCTGTGGCTGTAAATCAGAGAGCTGGGGTGTGGGCCTACAACCTCCATGATGGAACACGTTTTTCCCCATAAAGCCCATTTGTAAGATCTGCTTAAATATTTGTTCTAGGATGAAGGAGCATGTATATGCCTTATTAGTTGGCTGAAAAGCTGTATGAGATGATACAGAAGCATGGGTTACCTAACTATTTAAAAGCATGCAGTAATTCCTAACTGATTGAAGTATTATAAAGTGCCGTTAAATGCACTAACAGTAGATTTGGCAGTCTTATTTGTCACCAAAGTCCACTTGATTTTGCAAGTCTGTTTGTGATACAATCTGATGGAGGACTATTACCCACATCCCCCTGTAATCCAAGGCCCGACTCCATGCGTACCCTGACAGGTGTAAGATTAACTTAGTTAGGTGCAGAGGCGCTCATGCACACCAAATTAAATGAATGGAACAAATCCCCCTCCTAATTAAGATGAAAACACGTGTCAGTTGTAACCTTGCTGAGCACTAATTATGTACAAATGATTTATCATCTGTTTCGTCCTGAATAGCAATGGACTCACCTCTCTGATAGCCCTGCTGGCTGTTAAGAGATGGCCCATGATCAACAGTGACAGGTTGTGCTGCGGAGAAGCTGCACGTCCACCGGGCCAGCCAATCAGAGCCGGCCTGAGCTCAGACTCTCCTCCCTTCCATTAACCTACATTGAGTGTGCAGCTGAGCATCACTGTGTCTCGTCTCTCCTTCTTGTTTCTCTCCCCGGAATGAAAATAAAGTACATTCAGTGAGGAAAGGGGGGGGGGGGGGGGGGGGGAGACTGTGTGACTGGTGCAGGCTGAGCGGGGGGAGTTAAAACCTGAAACAGAGATGAATCCCACTGAGTTCCATTCGTACATTCTTACGGAGCAATGTGAGGCGGTTTCACAGGCTCTCCAACTATAATAACAAATTAAATGACGCAGAATACTGTCAGCCTATACGTCAACATGTTATGCACAATAAATGCCCTGGAACAAAAACATAGAGGTAATACTGGTACCAGCCTAAGGCCAGCAGGTGGTGCAATAGGCTAAGCCTGCCAAAAGCCCCTCTCTAAATTCCTGAGGGCTAAAATATCAAAACAAGCAGCTCCTCATGATAAATGGACAGTCTAACAGGGATATTCCGTCTTATTTCCCCCTGCCTTGCGAGTACAGATACATTTCAACGGGCAGCAGCTCTGATTAGCATTAGAATCAGAGTCCCTTGTGATGCTAAGGACACATCAACCAATCTGTAATCATTGTTCCGCAGGCTTGCTCACAAGGGGATATAGCCTGCTTTGTCATTACCATTCAATATGCCACACACATGCTGGCAAAGCTTCCATGGTTCTTCCAGCTACAGGGCATTTGCATTTCCTCCTCGAGGTTCCAAGAAATTGCACAGACAATCATGCTCCACAAATTACTCCTCTCTGTTGCACTGTCTGTAGATGAGAGATGCTTTTCTTCCATGACTGCTGCAGAAGGCAGAGAAAAGCTTCCTCATTCTATGTCTCATTTGGTCCTTGTGTGATTCTTCTTTTGAAATTGTCCCTGTGTGCGTCCTCAAATGTCATTATGTACATGTGTCCGCTCCGGCCTTTAGGGAACAATTGACTTGCTATTGTGATTTGGGTTTTAGCCGACATCTTTGGTAACAACAATTTGATTGTTGGATGTTGTGGTAAATGTCAGTACCTGCTAGCACACACACACACACACACACACACACACACACACACACACACACACACACACACACACACACACACACACACACACACACACACACACACACACACACACACCACACACACACACACACACACACACACACACACACACACACACACACACACACACACACACACACACACACACACACACACACACACACACACACACACACACACACACACACACACACACACACACACAGTCTGTATGTCATTATTGCCCTGAGTCTAATCTTTCTCAGATCTTTTGGTGGATAAATGTGCATAAGTAGGTACATTTAAAAAGATTTCACTCATGTCAGCCTTATAATGCAGATTACTCAGGTCATCCCTGACATGTAACACATCACTGAATACAAGAGCAGCAGCCATTTTCCTTTGTTGCCCCCCTACCCTTTCTACAGTGTATTCTTCTGCCCGCAGTGAGGGACTCGGGGGCCGAGGTAAGAGAGGCTTGGCAAACAGCATCTCCCACATCATGGCTTTCTGGGGATTGGCGGGGGCGGAGGGTTAGGGGTTAATTATAGACGACAGAAAGGTCACAGGGCCTATTCTTTTGGAGCTGGGACCTGCAACGGTCCATTGGGGAGGACATTTATGACGAGGGCCCGGCCCCACCCCTCCGTCACCATCACTCACATTTAAACTGAAGGAGCCGACAGTGGGACTCCGTAGCGTGATAATGAAAAGGCCCTTAGCGCTTCGGCACAGGCAGGATGATGAATTGAATCCCTGGCTGATCTCTGGTTGCGTCAGGGGGCCTCCAGTAGCCCTTGACAACTAATCGAAAGCCCCCGTACCCTCCTCTTGCCTACCAGACTTCCTTTATCACTCTCATTATTGGGGTTAAGTGAGTCTCCCATGGGACTATGAGTAGTACAGTGTATGGAACCTGCCAATTCATCTCATTGGATAATTCATTCATTGTAAAGGCATCAATGATTCTCTGTGGAGTCTGATAATAGTAAGTAGTAGTCATGTTCACATCGTATAAAAGGCACTGAAGGTCTGCAGTCAGTTTTTATTCCAAACTAAAATGGCTTTTTAAGAAATGTCACAAGTTAAGGCAGTGCAAAATGTTTATTAAAGCATTCAATGATTGTATTCACAAACAATATTATGTTTATCAAAGCCTGGTATATCTTCATACTCAATCAATCAATCAATCAATCAATCAAAGCTTAATTATATAGCCCAATATCACAAATGTTACTTTTGTCTCAGTTTGTACATTACATTACATTACATTACATTACATTACATTACATTGCATTTAGCTGACGCTTTTATCCAAAGCGACTTACAATAAGTACATTCGACCAGGAAGACACAACCTTGAAGAAAACAGAATCATATAAGTACATCAGGTTTCATAGAGCCAAACATTTCAAGTGCTACTCAACTGGCTATAGATAAGCCAGTCCTTTGTTAGTATACAAGTGCTTCGTTAATAGTTCTAACGCTCGAAGTGGAGTCGAAAGAGATGAGTTTTCAGTTTGCGCCGGAAGATGTGCAAGCTATCTGCCGTCCTGATGTCAATGGGGAGTTCATTCCACCATCTTGGAGTCAGGACAGCAAACCCACGTGTTTTCGCCGATGGGAACTTGGGTCCCCCTCGCAGCGAGGGCGCAACAAGTCGTTTGGCTGATGCAGAGCGTAGTGCACGCGCTGGGGTGTACGGTTTAACCATGTCCTGGATGTAGGAAGGGCCAGATCCATTCGCAGCATGGTACGCAAGTACCAGTGTCTTGAAGTGGATTCTAGGAGTTACCGGAAGCCAGTGAAGGGAGCGGAGGAGCGGAGTGGTGTGGGAGAATTTAGGAAGGTTGAAGACCAGACGAGCCGCTGCATTCTGGATGAGCTGCAGAGGTCGGATGGCACATGCAGGTAGACCAGCCAGGAGGGAGTTGCAGTAGTCCAGGCGTGAGATGACGAGAGCCTGGACCAGAACCTGAGTCGCTTTCTGAGTCAGCTGGGGACGTATCTTCCTGATGTTGTAAAGCGTGTATCTGCAGCAACGGGTTGCAGC